GCACCAGCATATACATCTCCAAAATAATTAAAAGCTTCCCCACCAATAGAACTTTTTCAGTTACAATAGAAAATCAAAATTCGAACTATTGCCCCATCACAACTGGAATACCTCAAGGATCATCATCATCATCATCATCATCAGCATCTCTCCTCTCCCTCAATTTTCCCGACTCTTTAAAAACAAAGTTGAATATTTATAATTGCAATTTTCAAAAATTATGAGTTTCATTAACATTATTTGAAGATGTAGTTTAAATAACAAGTTTAATTAAGAAAAAATATCAAGTTCCAATTTAGGAATTACAGGAAAACTCCGAAAAATTGTTCAACTTTTACAATCTTTGAAAATAGAAAGTACACCGAAAATAGTTACTGCGTCATTTTTATAATCATACTTTGCTCTATTAAAGAAAAAATTGAAACAGTTTGAGAAAATCTTGTTTTTAAAACTGCCTGTACTTCACATAAAATTACGCGAAAAATACTCATTTCAAAAAATTGTACTTAGCATCATTTGAAGTACAGTTTTCATTAGGGGGAAAATGTGTCTCCAATATTGTAGTTGTGGGAAGACACTGAAAAATTTTAGTTTTGACAGTTTTTAAAAATTCAGAGTTAAACGAAAATGAGATTTGAGCAGCTATCTTCAGCGTACGTTGCTCTATCCAAGAAAAAACATCCAAAAGTGTGAAGCCACGTTTGAGAACATTTTGATAAAGCTGAGGCTTATATCAAGTATTAAAATTTGTTGTTTTTTTCATGTAAAAATCCAAATATCCGTTTCAAATTTGTAGAACGTCGAAATCCGCCAGTTCGATGGGGTAATCTCAGTTTTAGAGAAAATTGAACAGTTTAGGTGCTAGGTAGGTGTTGATTCACAGACGGGTAGTGTGTCGTTTTGCCATACACCAGTTTTTACCAAGGACCCACCAATTGATATGAAAGACCTACAAAAGTTGGATTCTGACTATTCAACGTGTTAGGGGAAGTGATTTATTAGGCGGTGATTACAAAATGTAAACAATCGTTAATACACTGTTTCGTAATTTTTATTTATACATTTCAGTTTTTTGAAAAAACCTTCGTTTAGGTAATCTTAATTTAGAAATTAACAAATACAACGTCTATTTTTTCAATGGCACCAAAAGCTTTCGTTGTTAAACAAATGAATGAATTAGTTTGCAAATTCTATTGTTGTCACAATAAAACTCATTTGAAACATTTTCTGTTGACTGTACAGTTCAGTGTTCGTGAAAATCATTTTTAAAAGTTGTTTAAAAGAGAACAGTAAAGACAATTAAATTGGAAAAATTGGACAAAGAATATGAAATATAATGTCTTGTAGTTATCAAATTATTAGTTATTACTAGTGTCTCATCATATTTTCCCCTAATCGGTCCATTTAATTCTTAAAAGCATAATATAGACGATAAATTAGTTATTTACGTAAGCAGTACATACTCGTAATGTCTTTGGCGTACGAATGAGGAGTTGACGGAGGACGTGATGATAGGGGACAAATTGGCATTTTTACGAGCACTCCAAAGACACGAACGAGTTGCGTACACTATTGTTTGGAACGAATTCATGGTACCTTACATGTACATAGTCTTGGGATCTTTCTCAATATGCGATGCAGCAGCCTTGTTGATTCATGCCCGTGTTTAGTTTACTTTGCAATACTCAGTTGTTTTATTTGGCTTTGACTTCTTTGCGGTTCACGTACGATAAAGTAACACTTACCAATAAAAAAACAGTGAAGGTAAGTACGATAGCATCTTGGATTCCGAGTAACTTGGTTCGCGAGTATTTTCAAGACGAGCAAAAGTGTTGAAGATATTTTAACTCTATATACGAGCAATGCTTTGCAGAACTGGTAAGCCCCTCTTCCGTAGCGCAATTGTCCGTAAAGCGATTTTCTCACCCTCAGTTTTATAGTTCGATAAACTTTGGCCAACACATTCTAGGAAAATAGAGGAGAACTTTCTCCCATCCCTTCCGCTTGAGAAATTGTTTCTCCTTCACACGAGTCGTTCCACGTCAAATCGCACACTTATAAAACACTATTCTTAGCGATTTTTAACGTTTTTTTTATGGCATCAAGGGTTGAAGACAGGTCACACGTATTTATCTTTTGTTTTCTAATCACACCTCTTTCAGAAATATTACCAATTATTTTTTCCGAAGAATCATGCTCACGCTAATGTTTACATTTTTTGGCGCAAATACAGTTTCCTTCAGAAAAATAAAATTGCACTTAAATTTAACTTACAAAGATGTACTTTCATGTGGCATAAATATAATTTTTTAAACATATTCTTTAAATATTTAAAATGTGTGTTCATTTTTAAGATACAAATTTTACATTTGGCCGACACCTAAATTAATTGTAAAAAATACTCATGTATTTCTACTGAAAGTAGAAATTGTAGTTGTAGTTGTACGGATCTGACAAATTTCAAAGTGGGACACGCATAAATTTTTTTTTTAAATAATTTGTTCACCGGGGCACGTAGGCAGCCCGCTGTCCGTCGGACTCTCTGCTCGAACTATGGGGCGTCAATGACACGACGCATCGTGACGTCCAAACATAAAGCACCGCGAGACTTATGCCATGCTATGAATCGTAGAAACATACATACGGTCTCAAATGGAAGTCTTCTGACGATATATATATATATATATATATATATATATATATATATATATATAAAACAATAATATTGATATCATTTTCTTTATATGAAAATCTATAATTTCAGAAGAAGCATACATTTAGGTTGTTACAACCAGCATTCTTGAGAAGTTGAAAATTGACTGATTGCCATCAAAAAAGTTATGTGTTGGGAAACCTGGTTATGAAAATTCCTTCACGTGATGAATCAAGCGATGTTTTTGAAGTCAAGAAAGTGAGAATCGACCATCCTAGTTAATGCCGCAAAAATTGTTGAGCAGTAAAAAATGAATAAAGGTGAACCGCTGGTCCTGGTTACCCTAACGTATCACCCGATACGAGTAATAAAGAAACTAACCGAATAATTTCGTCTTAGTGTTTCTTCTGGTGTCTTTTGTTTCGCCCATCGTTTGCCGTCAGCTGCTCACTTCATGAGGCAAAAAGAGAATTTGACGCTAGGAGTTTTCATTGTCCAGTGTGATTTTTTAGAAAATTATTCTTTCTTACTTGAAGATGTAATTCAGAGACTGCTGTGCTTTAATGTCTTAGCAACTCTGCATTGTTTTATGCTATACTTCAGAGAAAGCAAAGAAATTTTTAAAAAAATATTTTTCTGGATGCCTGAAACACGACACGATTTCAATTCACTCTCTTCAGTGTAAACACATAACACTTTTCAAGTAACATTGACAGTGTTAACAGACATATTTTTTGAATGGGGTCACTGCACAGTATTACAAAACAATGGGAGGTATGCTTCCACAACATTGTCTTCAATGTGAGTGCTGAATGGCATTTTTTTGCTTTGCAATGTCTTATAAGAAGGGGCCTTGCAACATACTGAGGGGAGGAGAGGAACTTTAATATTCTCAATAAAAGCCTAGCCTGCAATCTTGATAGGAACCTATGAATTTACCCTGGAAGTTTAAGTGCACTGATGAACATGAAAAGAACACTGTCTTTATATTTTTAGCAATGTTGAAAAATTCTTAGCAAGAGGGCTACACCTAATAAAAATGATATACCTACTAAAAAACAGTAGAAGGCACAAAGAAAATACATAGTTTCATTTCTTTATGAAAAGGTTAATTAACAATATTCTCTGTAAAGGGAAGTACAAGAAATATCAATTTAATTAACTATATCACTTCCTCTTATGTGTATAAATATTCAGTCCATATAATACTAAATTGAATCTGTTTGACACTTTTTAATTTGAATTTAATCCGGTTTTTAATACGATCATTTTATGAAGATCATATGTATATATCTGGCACATAGTAAGATATGAAGGGACACTTCTATTTATTGCTCTGTGAACATATATTGATCGTAATCATCTGCTGCTGACTGGCACATGCTTGAGGGGTGACATTCTAGCAGATGCTGCAGCAGAAAACCAAGTAGATATTTCTATTGTATTTAATTTCTAGGAATCATCTTTGTGTCCCACTTTGTAACTTACTACGTATATATAGAACTTTTCAGAGATTACAGTGGTATTTTTTTCTTCAAATTCTTAAATTGTCAAGTTTAGGGAAAAATAAAAAATAAAATAGATCAAAAAAGAATTTTTTTTAAATTTCATCAATGTGGAATGTCTTGTCTGGCCTTGTCTGGTCTTATCATGCCTGACACTACACTTTGCAAGTTCCCAAGGGTGTTGGAGGTTAGCGAGTTTGGGAAGATTGCAGTTGGAGGTATTTATTTGAGGCGAGGACTGCGGCAAAGCATTTTTACTACATAAGTTCTAGAGCATTTTGTTTTTATCATTCTTTATGAATTAATAGTTTTGTATTGTGAACGAATGACCTGCATTTCAATTATTTCTAATGGGAAAAGTCACTTCAATACACGAGTGTTTTGGATTAAAAGCACGTTTCAAGAATGGATTATGCTCGCAATCCAAGGTTCTATTGTACTAAATTTCAAGCACAATGCTGAAAAAAATATTTAACTCTAAAATATATAACTTTATATTAACATATAACTTAATACTTAAAATATTAACCATTTTAAAATATTTAAAATTTCTTATTTTGTTCACATGCTACATTCATCATACACCCCACATTGCAGTCAGCAGACAATGTGTGTCAGTTGTCCATCAACTAGTCTTTATATCATAAAAACTGTAGACACTTTAGTCTAAAAACATTATGAAATTGAGATAATTTTTTTAAATTAAATTTAATAAAAATTTTAATTAATTTTTTACAACATTTGCCTTGTAACAAAAAATACAGGTGAATTTTCGAATAAAGTGAACAAAATGCAATAATAAGTAGTGAATAAAAAAGAATGCAAACTTCAAAGATATTTACCTTGTTTTGTCAATAATTCTGTAAGAGACAAAAAGGTCATAGAAATCAACAAATTAAATATCCAATTTGTTGAAGTAGCAACACTGTTGCAAAAACTCCGAGCCCACATTGGATAAATTTCTGAGTTAATTGTCCATGGCATTGGGCCCATTCCTGGACAAAGAAGAAAAGTAATAAAAATTATTAGTACATTGTATATAAATATAAAATGATATTATTATATAATACCATTACAGCAAAGTAATTTAGAAACTTAATAAAATAGTACATAGTAGTATAATACCTGGGGCAAAGAAAAGGAGATAAATGCCAAGAGCAGTAACTGTGATCCATGAGTATTTGGAAGGGCACCATCCAGATGCCCAAGTAAATTTGGGCCCACTACTAGTTGAATTTTTGTTGCATGGGCCTTCAAAGGGATATTTCTGATCAATCATATGCCAACATGTACCATTCAATACTTCTGAATCTGTATCTAAGAAGCAAAATCCACAGCCCTCTTTGGAGTCCACACATGTTGAACACGAACTGAAAGAAGAAATTAATAGGCAACATGTAAGATAAACAATACCAAAAATTATTCAGATCGATGAGCTACATAATTGCTAACGTCTATTATTTAAATATTCTATTGTTTTAGTATAATAAACTGTACACAAAATAGAAAACATTAAGCAATATCACTAGTCATTAAACAGTGGCGGCTGCTCCTGAAGGGCGCCAGGGCGGCGCCTCCAGAGAAAAACGAACCACGGGAAAAGTTGCACTAAGGATTAAATTTGCAATAAATCGACTCATTTAAATAGTGCATACCACCAGCGCATTTTCCGAGACCAAATTTTGTTTTATATGCCCCCTTACGAAAAAGATAAATGTTTTTAGAATGGGTCGCATCGTGAACTATCGCGAGTCCCTCCATAATCGGCGCATGCGAGGCCATTACGCGTGAGGAAGGGTGGGGGTACTGGGAGTTGTGTGGGAGCAGCGTGCTGCTATTAGGGATTTGTTCGGCAGAGTCCGCGCGTGTTAACTAAGCTAAGAGTAATGACCCTTTTATCTGATTTCATAAATTAGTTTTATTGCCTGGATTTTTTTAAACATTTCTTATATTTGCGTGAGCTCAATCTTCCGTTATTAACGTAAAAGTTTTCTTAGACAAAGATTAAAACCCGATGCCCGCAAATCGTTTGTACTCTACATGCTAAGGTTTCCTCGTTCAGGAAATATTCTGAAGAGATAAAATAGATGTGATAGTTCGGACATACTACACGCCGCTCCTAATTCTCAACCCACCGACCGTCACTGGTCATTAATATACTATAACCACCATGGGTTATTTCCACCATGGTTATTTCCTTGGTGCATAACCATGTTACTTCCACCATGGTTCTAGCAAAAATTAAATTACAATTAGGCAAAAATATCAAAAATTAGTTCCCAGATTGCATTACAAAAAGACAAAAATAACAATATTTGCTTAACAAAGGAATAAGCTGCTAGCATTCTCTTATGTAGTGCATACTTTTATGATGTAGTTCACAATGCCAAATTATTTTTTGGCATTTTTCTCTGTGGTTTTTCACTCACCTAGTAGTTCCACATACACTATCTCCACCAACAACATCTGCAGCATCAATTGACATTAAAGTAAAACCAAGGCCTAAAATAATTAATGAGACAACAACACCTGGAACAAAGAATGTTAAAAATTGTACAATGTATTTCATTATACAAGATGCAGATCCACAGGGAGGGAAATCCCCCCTCCCATGACTAAAATTTTTCAGTTACTATTCATTTTAACTTGTCAAGAAACTTTCAAGCAAAAACATTTTCACGTAATCACTAAAATGAATAAAATATTATTGCAGTATGAGCAAAGTGTAGCTTGTGACATTTTTGAACATCTGTAATAAGACACATTCGAGCAAAAGATTTTGAATTTGTTTCTGGGTCCGCCCCTGATTATACCAACAAAATAACATACATGCAATTTCTCTTTTTCTGATCCAATTTATCTACTTGTCTGTACCTTTTCAAGATTACATTACATCATATTTTTAACTATTGTAGCCTTCATAGATTGTACAGCTACATAAGTGAGATATCTTTCAAATACTTTTGTCTTTTCTTCAGAGTTGATAGCAAGTGAAAAAAATGTGCATTATAGGTAAGAAACAAATCACCATATAAGATTGTGAAGGAGGAGAGAAAAGAAGAAAAGTAATCAGGCTGGGTAAAAAGAGTATTTTCTATTTCTATGCAGTACACATGAATAATAACCTAAACTTCTACTTTTCAAGGCAAATCACTCCTTAGTAACAAAGCACTGTGTTACAGTGGTAAAAATGAAATTTACCAAAACACATTTAGTGAAACATTAATTTTCTATTTTATTTCAAATATGTTTTAAACCTTTAAAAATGCAGTACACAACCATATTATTTCTCAGTTAAAAAATCAAAAATAATATTTATAACTATTTCCCTCTATATATGAAATTTTTATTATGGATAAGCTACAATACCTGTAAGAGAGAAAAGAGTGAGAGGTCTTCTTCCTACTCTTTCAACAAGAAACAAGCCAATAAATGTGCACAAGAAATTTACACCTGCTGTAGCACACGCAAGCCATATCACGACAGATAAGTCTTTAATGCCAGCCATTTGAATTATACTTGCACTGTAATACCTGAAATTAAAGAACAATACATTACTTGCGGTGTTTATAATTTTGAACTTTCTCGCCTTACGAGTTCTTTGTAAGAAGAGAAAGTTATGTAATCGTGCGTCAGAAAACGCCGAAATTTCGTCAGAAAAAACTTATTGTTGGGTTCTGGTAACATACATGTTTTGTTGGTTCTTGATACTGAAATATTGATTGACGTCAAAACGTCTCTGTCCGTCTGTGGTCAACGCTTGCGGCTAAACCGTTCAGTCGATTTTCTCCAACTGACCTCTTCGAAAAATATGTATTTTTTTAAACGAGTAACAAGTTTTGCGTAATTTGCGATTTAAATTTACAAAAAACCCTCAAATACCGGTTTAAATGTTTTCTTTAAATTTTTTCTACATGTGTAATAAGGAACGGTAAGAAATATGGTGCTAGCCCCCATTTTCGAGAATTACTAGTTGGTTTTTTATGCAAAAACATTTCTAAACAACAAATTTGAAGATAGAGATTTGTGTGTTAGACAAAGTTCGTTTTACAAAATTAGATATTTAAATTTATAAGTAAATTAAAAACTAGTGGAGGTATAGAATGGCACAGACTTTCTTACCCTAGCTAGTTTTCTTTTCTACTCTTTACTAGCTTTTGCAATAGGCGCCATTGTCTTCTCGTTTGTTTTCTTTCGTCGCCCGAAAAAAAAAAACATTTTTCACATTTTCTTAATGATCTTTTGAGCTGATCAACTAATCAATATAAAAGCGGATTTATGACTGATGTTTATATTTCAATACTTTCAGCAAAAACATAGAATTTAAAAATATAATAATTCATAAGATTATATTTTTCAATTCTTACTACTATGTTAACCATAAATTATAGATTTTTAAATCAGGAGGCATATTATTAGATGTAAAGTATTTATTGACCTATTAATATTCAATCAGGTTTCAGTTTTTCAAAACACTATGCTTCTGTTAAACTATACTTACATGACAGTATTGATTCCTGCTAATTGCTGGAATCCTTGAAGCATACATCCCAGAACTAAAGCTTTTCTAGTAGAAGGGGAACGAAGAACTTGTAACCACACAGACTGCTTCTGTACCAGGCTTTCTGTTTCCTGTTGTAAAAATGAAATTTTCATGCTTTCGAGTTCTTCTTCAATAGGAAAATCAGGTCCACGAATTGAACGCAACACTTTGCTTGCTTCATCATATCTGAAATTAATTTTTTTAACACATGAAGCAATTCTTGCAAATATGTTCACAATGCACATTTTTCTGAAACCAACCTTTTTTTTGAAACCAACCATCTTGGGCTTTCTGGCATTCCCAGGAATCCAAAGAATTGAATGGCAGCAGGAACAGCAGCCAAACCTAACATGTATCTGAAGAGGAAAAAAAACTATACAATTCATTTATTCTACATTAATAAACAAATGAGATTACAGAAATGTTCTTTTTAAAACGTATGTAAGTCCTGGATAAATTATATAATTCCGATGCTAATTATTTCAGATGCATGTCGACGCCTTTTTTCTACTGTACTGGCGTAATTCCGCCCAATATGGCAGCCCTGAATTTGGCCAAAACTACAGGATGAACAAATAGGAGCATTAGTGTCGTACGGTGCGTAGTTTCATAATGTTCTCCAAAATTGCACAACAAGAATTCGGAGTATTTAAAGGAAATATTGAAACTCGAGGGAATCGGAAATTTATAATGATAATTTGGCCTCTGTCACAAGAGCGTTGCGTTGACGCGCGCCATCTAGCACTGATGATGTCAGCTACGTAGATGCTTGTGCACACGAGTCACGTAACGGATGACGTAGATTGTCTTATGCGAAACGGCACGAGAGCTCTTGCCAACATGCGTCGTCAACCGATCGTCGCTTTATCATGCGCGTTATCGTGACTTACGTTGTGGCTTGAGCTGTGGGCACAACGCACGTCGCCAATACCGCTCGTGTGCCATTTCGCATAAGACACAGTGTTAACCTACGACACGCGTTAAGCGACTCGTTTGCGCAGGCATCGACGCGCGTCAATGCAACGCTCCTGTGACGCAGGCCTAAAGAACTAGGGACATAAAGTACGAATATCAATACTATCTTTCCCTCCCCCGGGCGTGCCTATGCCTGTCTTGCGGGTCTTCTAAGTAACACGTTATGTACTTCAGCTTCTGGTATCTATCAGGTTTTGTCCAGTTTCCGTGATTCACTGAGCAAATGCCGAGATAGACCCTTGTTTTGCTTCTGGATATAAATGTATCTTCACCTTTTGCTAGTAGTGGTAGTAGAGGGGGGAGGGCACGAGTTGCTATTTTGTTAGCAATACAAAAATAAAATAAAATCTGGTTTGTTTGCCGATTTAAATAAGTTTTCTAAAACTTGGGAGCGAGAATGACTTGTTTTCAAAAGTTGCTAACTTTGCTTCTTTTGAAACTTGTATTCATCATTCAACGATTTATTGTTAAAATGTTGAGAAGAGATTTTGGAGCTCATGAATACGTGCGCAGACGGTACCCCCATGTGTCACATACATTTTCTACTGTACTTGAACTACATAAATAAAAAATAATGTTGGTCAAAGAGTGGAGGGCACCAATGTAAAAATTTAAAAAATATAAATATTTAAAAAAAGTTCGTTTTGCTCATAATATTCAATTTCAGTTAGGCGTTTTTCTCTTTTACAAATGTTCCCCCTCCAGTCTCCTGAAAAACGTATAAGTAAAGTTTTACTGTATTTCTAGTGTTGGTTTGGTCGACTTCGTTGTGTCGTTTTTGTATATTTTTAATAGATTTTTAACTTTTTTTATATATTTTTGCAGTGATAGCTCTTTGCTAAGAGCTTGACTGAACTACTTTTAATCTGTGCTGAAATACGTGTCCTTCACGAATAGGTTGTTAAAACCACCCTGATGACTTTGTTATGTTTGTGGTGAATACATTCTTCAAACTGACAGTAAGAACACCACTGACCTTGTTAAGCGTGCATATCTTGTCTACTTCGGAATTATCACTGGCAAGCAAGATAACTCTTTGGCTTCCCATAAGGTTTGTACATTTTTTGTGGATAGTTTTAAGACAGTGAACGAATGGGAAAAGAAAAAGTTCATGTTTGGGTGTGACTATGATGTGAGTAGAGCCAAAAAACCATCACTTTTGTGTTGTGAATATAAAAGGCTTCAACAGATACAAAAAATATTAGTGTGAGTATTCAGAATGGGTGCCAGCAAGACCTGTGCCACACAGCATAGATATTCCAGTTCCAGGGTTTAAAACACTACCAGAAATCCATTGTCAGAATATGGAGAATTGGAATGTGTCAGTAGCAATAGTTCTGAATTTGAAGGGAATGCTTCAACAGTTTAGTTCTCTCCGAAAAAACTCAGTGATCTGAAACGAGACCTCAATCCATCTACGAAAGAATTTGATTTCATGGCATTTTGGCTAAATGAAAAAAAAAGTCTGAAACCACAAGCAAAAACTATAATTTACTAAACTGGAGAAGTAGAATTTCCTTCAGTGAAGATGATGAACTTAGTATTATTTCAAGAATATCCCTGAACTACTTATCAAATTGGGTTCACTAAAATATCAACAAGGGGGACTGGAAGCTTTTTATAGACAGGTCCTCCAAAAGCTTGTAATGTGTTTTATTTCACAATGGTAACGGCTATGCATCTATTACAATTGATCATTCACCAAAACTGTATGCGGTATTCGAAAATGTTAAGATGGTTCTACAGGAAATTTGTTACAGCACAAATGGCCTTTATGTGTTGATGAAGATGGTAAACTTCTTGCTAGAACAGCAAAGTGAGTATACAAAGTACCCGTGATTTATTTGCATGTGAGATTGTCGAGAACAAGAAGTTCACGGGAGAAATGTAACATGGCCTAGGAAAGGGAAAACATGAGAATTGGCTCAGCAAACATAAATTAGAGAATTTGGTTGAGATAAAAATATTCTTCCATTACTGAACATAGACCTCCGCTTAATGAAGCAATTTGTAAAATCCCTGGTTAGAAAATTTTTTCAAGCAAGTTTGCAGATCCTTTCCTGGATTCAGTAATGAAAAAGCAGAAATATTCGTTGGTCCTCATATTCGCAAGCACATCAATGATGCCAATTTCACTGCAGTAATGACAGACACTGAAGCATGTGCCTGGATGGGAGTCCGATGTCTGATGGGAGTTCGATGTCTTCGGGATTTATAATTTGGCTTGTGCAGTGTCATTCAGCAAGTTTCTGCAACTTCTACTGAGCTACACAGCTAGAATAGTTTTGTCTCAGTTGTAAAGAATTTCTTGGGTAACTAAAACAGACTAAGCCATCGTCCACACCACGCTTGCAGACTTTCAAAATTTGGGAGCTAGGATGAGAATAAAAGCAAACTTTCTCCATAGCCACGTACAAAGATTTCCTGAAAACCTTGGACAGTACAGCGAGGCGGGGAGAGAGGTTCTATCAAGATATCAGAGCGATGGAGGAAAGGAGTCAGGGTAGAGGGACAGTCACATGATGGCAGACTACTTCCTGGCGCCTGCAACGCGACTCTTCTAATAACACATACAAGAGAAAATAAAACAGTCAGAGATGTCTACAGCAATAATATTTGTGAACTGAAAATAAAATACAGATTCCAGTTTCACTGCGTGGTTCATGTACTCAGTTTGTACATGTACGGTAGTAACTTGGAAATACCTTTATATAATTTTTTAGTAGTGACTTTTTTCATGTAATAACTTTGGGTTTTATTTACTTTTTTCTAAAAAATGTGCATTCTCTCGAAAAGCAGAGACAATGAAGCAAAACCAAAGACATTTGGATTCAACATCATGACGTTGGCCTAAAACCTCTTTTATATAATTGGCAATAAACTCATTATTTCCCAGTGTTATTAGTGATTTACTATCATAAACAGTTTGCATATTTCTCGTTAATTTTTTATATAGATAATTTTTTTACTTTACTACTTACTTTTCAACTCACAAACAATTTCAAGTAAAAAAAACAACACAAATTTGGTCTTTGAAAATTCTTTTTTCAAAGCAAGTTGATTGAAAAACCATATTTTTTAAGAAGAGAAAGTTGTTTTATAACTCAATAATAAAAATAGAACAATTATTTATTTCAAAATTTCCTTCCTAACGTCGCGGGAAATTTATTGATTATTGATTATTGATTATGAAATTTATTAATGCAACAGATAAGCAGTTTGTTAATAATCTCTGCAATTGCAAATACATTTTCTTTTTCTTCACAGGCGCCGCATTTTAAAATTCACAGTAATGAAACACACAAAACAAAAGGAAGATCAATTAAATTTAACTCATTTCTAAAAAATATCACACATGAAGAAATCGCGTTAATAAGTTGGTCTCAAGATGTTTACACAATAAATATTCTTTGTGGACATTACCGACTGGGCCTTGTCTAGCCGATTGCAGTATGGTGGAAGACAACCTCTGCTATAACTTAATGCAAAGTATGGGACATTGTTGTGATGCAATGGGCAAGAGGTATGTGCCCACTTCTTGTCAAAGAAGTGAGAGAGTTGTCCTTCATTTAGACAGGGCTCATGATAAGGTGTGGCAAAATGCTTTCTCATCAGGCATGAATGAACATTATAATGCTAAGTATTGGGATTAAATTTCATACGAAACCAAATAGTTATTTTAATTTTTATAGTGGAATTTTATTTTTCCCTATTCTTTCAATTTAATTTTGCACAATTTCGCGTCATTGCTTATATTTGATCACCCTTGCTACGGAGTAGAGGTCATCAGAAGAGATAAAAATGTAATACAAGGTTGAAAAGGCGACATTTTGTCGAATATTGTGAAACATAACTCGCTCCGTCTCCCGCAACTCTTGACTCCACCAAATTTACCTGTTCCCTCAAAACTTGTAAGTTGTGATTTGCAGATTATGACATACGGAATAAATTATTGCAACACACATTAAAATCGCTCAAACGTTTTAAACGATGTGCCCTAGATCCTTAAAACCAGGTTTTATTTTGGTATTTTGTGTGCCGAAAGGACCAAATTCATCTGTCTCCTGGAAACTTGCGTCCCTTCGGTAACAAAACCTGGTTTTGCCTACATAACTTCTGCCACCAAACTGGACCTAATGACCTGTCCTGTTCACCAGTCTCGACATAAGGTAATACGTACCTCGCGTGGCTCTTAGTGACGAGTTTAGCTAAGACCGACAAGTAGTATAATACAATCCGTTTGCACGTATCTGGGAAGGCAGACACTAGACGATAGCGCATAGCAGAAGAGACTTTTCTATCATTATTATTTGCTGATAGCAAGGGCTACCAGACTATCTAGTCGAGCACGTTCTCGATCCAACGGATGGAGAAGTCTCATATAGCCTTTCTCGCATACGACGAGAGATTATGCAGCATGTGATCACCCTTTCCACTGTGTTTTCCTTCCTTTGTTTTTGTCACGGTTCTTTTTGGTTGTCTTTACGTTTTTACGGAATTTGGCGGGACCCCTCCTGCCTTGCCTTTACATCATATGATACCAAGCAGAACTTATGCTGGTTGAATAACAGTGAGTAGAGCTAATTGGTTGGAGTTAACCATTCTGTAATCGCCAACCTCAAACCTCAAGCATAAGAGATGTATTAATATCATATAGTCATCCTGAATTGGGTAGTAGACCCGAAAGTTACGAAATTTGTCGGCAACTGAAATCTGAAGTGACTGGACTTCAATAACTTCTATCGTATTTTTGTTAAACGCTTTTTTACTGAAACATATGCATCATAGTTAATCCAAGTTATGAGATGATTTTCTTCCTTACAGGCACCAATAGCATTTTAACAATTATGTCTTCTTTCAGACTTCCACATTGTCGAATACTTCAACATACTCCTTAAACGGAATATTTATCATTACCTTCGTTAGATCTTTGCCATTGCCAAAACCAAACCAATGTGACGTGGTACGTGAATAAAACGCCAGCCACTGCAAACACTTAATCCAAATGACTTTGTTGTTTGAATGTCCCACTGTCGGATGTTGATTGTGCCACTTTTTCGTATAGGCATATTTTTATTCATTTCAACATTTAAACACAGGACTATCAGGACATCAGTGACGCCTGTAGTTTGTACTGTACAACTCTTTGTTCAGATACACCATGTCTGGGTGATGAGAAGGCCTACATCTCCATATGAGTGAATTGTCTAACATCAGCACTATAAAAGCTTTCACTTCTGAGCGCCATGAAATGTTGCTAATTCGTTTTCACTCAAATACCCTGCTTCATTTTCCGTTTCGTCACTTCTTCTGCGGTGAATGGCGCTATTAATGAAATGACCATTCAAATATCTATGAAACACAGAAATTATTTTTATACCTAATACAGATAGCTGAGAACAGCCATGATAATCAAAGCAGTAAAGTACTTCCATCTAGTGCTTACAGTGAATCACAAAGTAGTGTTTCTGCGGCGGCTAATTGACATACTTAACCTAGGCCCACTTGGCATTGGCCAGAGCCAATTTATTTGCATTTCTTGAAAGGATTGAATCGACAAGATATTGAATAACTACAAATGTCACTCTTTTATATGACCCTCTTATCAATATCCTGTTCAGAAGCATGTATTTGGAATAGCAATTCTTGGTTAATGTTAATATCTAGTCCTATTTTAATATTATTCGATCCTATTGTAACAGTGTGCAAATTGTTTATGAATTATTTCTATCGTACAGTGACTGTGACACAGAATTCCATGGAATTAAGGTATGTAGGAATAATGGAAACGGTAAGAGTTAACGCGTTGAGTTAATGCGCGTCGCAATTAAACACTGTATCTCATGCGGAACGCCGAAGCGCTCGTGTATCATTTCGCATAAGTCACAGTGTTATTCTACGACGTGCATTACTTAACGCGTGTAAATGCGACGCTCGTATGCAGGGGCCCTGAGACGCTCGCTAGAGAAACTGAAGTTTTGCACGCGGAGTTATTCCACATAAAGGCCGTCCAAGTTTAGCTTACTCAAATTTTATTACAAATTTATATTCGCACCACGTTGGGTAGCTAGTAAAGCCATCCGGTACATACACTGACACGCACCCCCTTACAGATTGTCCCGGATGGGGTGGTGCCCTGCTGGTGGGAGATACCTGATTGGGGAAAATCAGCAAGCCGTCGTGTAGGTCGGCGCCGAATCACACCAGCCAGAGCGGGAATGTCACCCCCCGTGGTAAAATATACTTTACTTACGATACTAATTACCATAGACGTTGACACGCCTGGAAACACGAAATAATCAAAAACAAAAATGCCTTCGAGATATGGTACCATCTCAATATACGAACAATGAAGCTTCAACAGATAGAAGGTGTCCTTTTAGGGTTTATATATTTAATTATCTATTAATTTACCGACAAAACACTTAAAAAGGATGCGTAGCGTATTACGGGGAGAAGTGTATTGTGTGGACGTTTTCATGAGTTCTGGTTCGTAACTCGTATGCACGATGAATAATGAATACAGGCGGAAAGCAAGCGTATCTAGCAAGAATTGATAAGAAAGTATTCGCTCGCATGTAATAAACCATATTAATCAAGGCACATTACATAGAGTTTGGCTAATATCCCTTATCCAATTCTTCTGACCATGCATGGACTGGAGAATCGCGAATCGAAAGCTTCTTTTGCTTTATCAACACTCACAATACCAAGATCAACCACTTTTGTTGTCAAACTGCAAAGATTCATTAGTTATAAATGAACTTGGTTCCTATAGAAATGCAAGTTGAGGCTATTCAAGAGGGCCAGCTCAATGACGAGAAGAGAGGAAAGAGCTATTCCTGAGACTCGTTACCGCGACGAACAATATGTGGACAATTCTGGAATATCGTTCTAAACACCGGGAGAGAATTCTTAAGCAGTTGCTCTTTTGGAGCTTTGGATTTTATACAAAAATGCTCCAAAAATGCTTTTTTCTCGAGTAGAGCAAAGTAATTTATAGAAATGACGCCCACAGCACGCTCTGCCGAGTCTGCTGCTATTGCCGAGAAGGGCCGAAATGAACCGATTGTTGGCGGAGACCTACGCATTGTAATGTATTGCAAACGGACCTCGCTACAGGCAGGAAGTCTGGCGCCGAAAGCATAGGATTACGTCTTAGACGGCCTTAGACAGGGGGGGGGAAGGTTCGAAACGCCCGGAACGGAGGTGTTCAACACTCCACATGTATTTTGGGAACTTCTCGGAATTTTAGGAACGAACAGCAGCCAGGTTCAGCCAGCCTGGCGGAACCGCATGGCGTCGAAGCGATCACGTGGTGTTGGTTGCTGCGCGAACGCGAGTATGACGTCGTGAGTCACGTGGGCTGTGAGTATAAAATTCAGAGCACAAGTCGCGAGGATGGGTCTTTGAGCAGAGTGGGAGACCTTCTGCAAATGCACAAAACGTGAACCCAGGGCCGTGCGTTGACAAGCGATGCGACCTGTGTGTCGGGAGGCCGCAGTGGAAAATCAATTCCATTTGTGGCAGTGGTCACGTGGAAGTACGTTGTGCGAGTATGACTTAGATTAGTAGATAGGGTCACGAGTCAAGCAATTAATTGCAGGTAGTTATGGATTGCTCATGCGATCCGAGGGCCGTCTATCAGAGCTGTATAATACATTAATGTATTATTGCTTGTAAATAATATTCTAAATAAACCACTGTAAATAGTTGAGTTCTTGTCTGATTTGTAGTGAAATTCCCACAACGACACAATCCTTAGGCAGATAAGGAGAGTGCGCGCTCTCCGAGACTGCGAAAGCAAGCCAGCGAGAACGCACTATAATATAATGCGTTTTGTCCGGCTCTAATTTAAAGTATGCGCTCAATGGCAAGGAAAAGGGGCAACCGACGAGTCTTTGAATGACCTAACAATGGTTAGTAGTTAGTATGCACAACCTTGCAGAATGCTTAAGCCATTCCTTACTGCGCAAATACAAAAGAGGTTGAAAAGTTTTAATACGAAATGTTTAATGTTAGTAATGTCAAACGTTTAATGTCATGTAATGTCATACTGACCATACAATCCATACCAAGCTGAATACTGTTATGTTTTTATATGGGCTGGGCACCCAACTCCCAAAAACAAGCTTTCTTCAATACAATATTAACTTTAAGTTTGAGAACACATTCTTCCCTTCTCCTCTTCGCATCCCTTCGAAATCTTCCAAATATTTCACAAATAAATAAGACTGGCAGGACAGGCCCTCGAAATACGTTAGCAATGCGCGCTACTCAGTCCGAGCCACCCCCTTCACAAGCGGAGGCGCGAGCGATGGAGAGCGCTGGAGCTCGCCAGAGGCCAGTTGAGTGGTTACCCTTATGCACTCGCACCCCGACCAAACCCAGAAAACCTTCGTTTATTTCTCTTACGATTAGTTACATGATTCGGCCTAAAATGATCTGAATAAAGAGAGTGTACTAGCTTTAATAACGCACACGAACAATTTATGTTAATATTAACAATTTTCAAATACGTGTATGTAATAGAAAATATTTTAGTTTTAGCACTTTCCAACAAGTTTGTTCTACTCGATTGTTGGCACATTGACCGCCAAATTACTTCAAATTTGGCGCCTTGTTTTCTAATAGGGCACTTTTGATGTTATTTGAAGGCGTTTCAGAGGAAAGGATCATACATTTCAAACTTGGCACTCTGGAGATCATCTATTTCTATGAGTATTTTGTAGCCTCAACGATTGTTTTTTTTTAAACTAATAACACTAAACTTGACCAGCCTAAAGAGAATCACGTTTCTTACACCTTCAAACCTTTGCATTGGTAAAAGGTTTTCATATATTATTTTACAGAGGAGAAGAGAGGCGATGAAGTGAGAGGGAGAACAGAGACTAGGAAAACGAGGGAGAGAGCGAAGGAAGTGGAAACAAAAGTGAGAGGAGAGGGAGGGAAGAGAAAGAAAAGTATGAGTGAGTGTATAAAGAAGAGAATGGAGATGAATGAAAGAATGCAGGATGAAAGTGTTTGAGAGACGGTCGGGGGAAAGAGGAAAAGAATAAGAGAAGAGGACAGGAAAGAAGGGAGGAAGAAAACGGTGGAGACAAAAAAGGAAGGAGTGAAAGGAAAGGGAAAGGGAGAGAAAAGAAAGCAGGAAGGAAATGAGGAAAAGAGGGATGGAATGCAATGGACGAGGGTGTGAAGAAAATAAAGTGGGAAAGAGGCGGAGGGTGGGGAGGGGAGGGGAGGGGAGGGGGAGGGGAGGAATGGGTGTGTAACAAGAAAAGTAAATTTCAGATAAGAGGCTTAATGCAGAAAAATTACTGTTATTGTAATAAATATATCTATCCTCACCTCCATCCTTCTTGGTGTGTATAAAAGTCCACAACTGCAGCAGCAATGAACTGCCCACAGGTGATACACAATGTGTTTACAGTAACAAGAGGTCCTCGAGATTCAGGTAGGGCACTTTCTGCTATGTATACTGGAACACTCATGCTGGCTATTCCTATAAAACAAAGAAAATAAATTTTATGAAAAAGAATTATAAATTTAAATATTTTTAAGTACATGAAAGTAAAATTAACAAAATTTTATCTATTAACACATTTTCTTATATGTACATTAACATTTCAATGTAATTAGACCTTCAAGAAATTAGAATTTCTACGCATTATTAACGACAATACTGAATGAAATATCGGGGCATTCTCTTTCTCAGCCACATAGCAATGGTACACAACTGGAACTTTCAAAACTGAAACGAACGGTAATAAGACAGTTTAGAATCAAACAATTAACGTAGCTCTTATGCCTCAAAAATAAGTCAAAACTGATTAATATACTACACCTCAAAGTCAGCATTCAACCATTTCAAAATCCAAAAAGTTTCGGTTTTTATGTATGACACTAGTCATCAAAATTGAAATTTTATCTTGGCCCCATGAAAAGAAACCCGTTTCTGTTAAGGATTCTCACGTTAATTCAAATTGCAAATATTTCTGCACGTCACATGAGCATTCCATAGAAAGGAACAAGTATTTTTTTCGTTCATTACCTCGGTATATCTTATTTGAATTACAGACATATCATGGTAAAAACAATTTGCTTTTTCGCTTGATGTACAATCCAGATGAGAGTTTCAGACATGTTTAGAAAGCGTTCATAAGCAATCTTAAAGAAGATTAAATTATTATTATTATTATTATTATTATTATTATTATTATTATTTACATTATTCACAGTATCTACCTGGTCGTATGTCAACCAACACAGGAATGATGACCAGGTGTGTGGTTGCTTTACTGTAGGTTCAGATGTCTCTGACAATACGGCATGTATTCAAATACCGACTTTTGCATATTATACACATTCCTGGATCCAAGTAAAGACACTCCAGTGCCGAAGTGTCATTTTCGGGATCACTCCTGTAGCTGATATTATTATAGGCACTGTTGTCACTTTACTTAAGTTCCACTGATTTGCGACTTCATGGGCGAGATCGGTATACTTCTGGATCTTTCTTTATTTTCGGATATGTTGTGGGTATTGGTATTGATATAACGATAAGGAAAACTGCTGTTGTTTCTATCAATGTACGTTATATCGGGTCTATTGCCCGCGACATGTCTATCAGTGATAATGGAGGGATCCCAGTAGTGTGTGCTCATACTTTCAAACACATTCTGAGGAACATATTTTATACGGCACGGAAGTGGCGAGAAGTCCGTTTCAATGCAATAATTGGTGACCTGCTTCGCCACTTCATCATGCCTCTTTTTGTATTCCAACTGTGAGTGGCTGCTACATCCACTTGTCACGTGTTGGTCAGTTTCGCTTGCGCTGGATAGCTATCATGAAGAATTCTTATTATTATTATTACTTTTATTACTACTATTACTAATTATTATTATTACTATTATTATTATTATTATTATTATTATTATTATTATTATTATTATTATTCATTGCATTTCATGTAATACTTCCATACGATTTCCATACTGATTTTCAACCTTATTTAATCTCACTGGTCGTCTTGTCAGGGATGTTTTCCTTTAGACCTAACCGGTATTTTTGTGTTGTTGGGCGTGAAATAAAGGAAACTACTGGTGCTCCAACGGCATGTACTTACGTGTTTTATTTCTAATGGTTAGTATTATAACACAAGGTGAATGTTTTCGCGGCTAGTGACAGTTTACTTCACTTGAGGATCGTTCACTAACTCAACGCACGCATCTGCGAATGTACCCAGCCGTAGAAATGTTGTTCACTGACTAACGTGTGGAGGGGCTGGTTGCTGGACGGACGGAAGGACAGATTTTTGAAAAAACTCATTTTTCGCATCAGGACCTCAAAACATGTATTTCCGTCGAAATTTTGTCACTGAATTTTTCAGCATTACTTAATTTTCTCTACGCTATGCATGTACTCCGTATATTCTAATACTCGAGTAAGAAAAAGAGCGGTCAAGCCCCCGAAGCTTTGCTTTTGTGGTCAGGGAACTTAAAAAAAACAGATTGAAACTAAGAAAATTTTTTTCTGGGCTGATAGTTCTTTGACACGTTTTCGTCTGCGCTTCACCAGGGAGGCGGAATACACGGGGACACGTGGAAGGTTCATTTTTTGTTTTTCAGTGTTCTCGAAAACTGCGAATCATGGCGAAAAAATCACTATATTCAAAATGCAAGCTAGCAAAATTTCCTAAGTCTGTTTTATTTCTTTTCTTCATTCCGAAGAGCCTATGAGGTATGTTATAGCCAAAATCGAATATTATCGAAAAACACTAGTTTCATTTTTTAAACTTAGCTTTCTACCACCTCGGCCCTTACTTTTATAGCAATATTCTCGTAGTACGGAAACGTACGTACTCTCGTAAGTAAAAGATGTATATGATTAAATGTCCTTGAAAATCAGTTGCGTTATTTCATCTTCAAATTCTAAAAATGTATATAATTTGGCATTTTTAGTCGTTTCAATTCGGCTTTTTTTTTTTTTTGTCCTGGCCACAAAAGCGGGGCGACCCGGGCTACAACAGTGTTCGCCTTCCACCGCTGCGGCAGGTGATTCGGTCCACCTTCGATCCAAGTGGAATCATTTATGGTGGACAGTGCCGGTTTGCCGTTTGATTATTCTGGGTTTTCCCAATCCTCTGTCTCTTATTTCACATTTTCTCCATCGTTACATCGTAACACAATCGCCTCGCCGGAGAGACACGAAGACGTCGTTAACAGTTTTGGCTTCGAAACTACGACGATTGTGAAATCTCCTCCGAAAATGTACGCCATACAATAAATAAAAAAAATCACAAAAGCAACATTTGAGTATGATCGCATTTCCCTGTTTATTTTACAGCCTAAGAAAAATGCCGGTTAAGACCCAAGGACAGAGAAAAGCTCAAAAACCGTCGACTTGTGTCGTTGGAATTTCTATCAGCATCAAAACTTTAATGTTGATAACTCACTTTCTAATTTTAGCATTACTAAAAGCATGAGATTTTTTTTCAGATATTGAATCTTGACGTTAATTTTACGTACTCCTAAACACAGAATTCGAAATGTCTGAACACTGGAACCCAGTATGAAAAAAAACCTGTTAAAATTGACTAGAAATGGAATGTACAACATACGTTTCTTTCATATTAGTTATTTTCCGTAATTAATGCAAGAGTAGTAAATATATTTTCCAATTTGCAGATTCTTTTTTCAATCTCATTTTCACCACATTAATGAATAATCATCACTCTCGATAAGAACAAATACTATTGCGACAAACGAAAACACACTACAGAATTGAAAATTACCAAATATTTCTCCTAGTTATGGCTGAAATATATTTCGGGGCTAAAGTAGATTTAAAGCATCTTTTTGTCTACAGGTCAAACAATGTACGTTTTTCCAAATTCGTTCCCCGTATTGACATATTCGGAATCTTCAATATCCTTTGCAGGCTGAGATACAACTGTCTTCTCTGTGAAAAACTAATCTCATAAAGACCATTGCAGATACCTACATCACTTTGTGTACTATTCTACTATTTTTACAGTTATGTTAGGATAGCTTCATTTTATGCTCTGATCATTATAATGCATTGAAGCCATCTTCGGCATGGCTTCTGTATGTAATAACACAAATCGTTATGGTGCACCCGTTGTGAATCACCCAACCCGTATGTCGACAATTATTGTGGAAACCCAAATGATAAGATATGAAATGAAATAGCTGGCTCGGGGGCTCAGTGCGAAGTCGCTCGCCTTTCACCAAAGGAAGGTTCGATTCCCGCCCATTCACGGGCAATCTCATGTGAAATCTGTTACAATAAAAAGATATATGGGGTGCTGTGGAGAAAAAAGTGTCTACAAATTTGAATTTGATATGAATACCTTGACGGTAACACCAATTACCTTCCTTGGGCCACAAATCCTGTTGACTAGTGCAATGTTTAATATGATGTCAAAAATAACTAGCTGTAACTAGAAATAACAAATAATTTTCAATGAAAACTTAATTTACCCATTAGTTTGTACCAATGAATGTCAGTATAAGATATGTAAAATATTGTTAAAAATTTTATTTTGAAAATAAAACAAACTTGATGCATTTCTAAGCATTCAAATATAAAACAAAGCATGCACTCAAGTCTCATTATCATGTCATATCAAATGTTATTTCAATATTAGTCCTTTCAAATATCAAAACGAAGTTTTACAAAATTATTATATGGTTATATGAACACACATGGGTAGATGAAAAGTATGGTACGAGTTGCTTATTTGTAGATACAAAAAAAAATATTTAAGTATACATATATAAAAGAAGAAAATAATTTGAAGAACTGAAAACTGGAAAGCCATTAACAACGGAAATGGATGAATGCGACAATAGAAAAATTATTTCCAATGAACTTGGAAGAAATGGAGAGAATACTATCCGAAATTTGCATTTTAGCAGATATTTATGTAATTGTATGAATGATAAGAGAAGATCTGGTCATTTTACTACTATTAAAAAGTATTGTTAAAACAGAATTTTCAAAATAAATACAAGTTTATTATAAAGCAACTGCTTTAATTCATTACTAAATTAAAAAAAAAACTATTTATGATGCATTAATATCATTTTGTATGAAAAAATATACCAAAAGAATCAGGTGAAAGGTATGTCAAAAGCATGCAACATTTAAGTCTACAATGAGAAATGGCATCCAGAAAAATGTTGCAACCAACCTCTAACAAGAGTTGTTTAGCAGAAATTACCAGCAACACACGATGCTAACAACTTTCCTAATGTGATAAACACCAAATCAGAAGTCAATATTTGGCAGATATTTGTGATGGCGCATTCCGTTATGTACACGTGGGGAAATCAAGCCTGGAAAAGCGAATAGAAAACGTTGCAACACAACGAGCGTTTCCTGACCGCAACATGAGAGTATTGGGCAAATTTGTATATTCCTAGGTAAATGATTATATAAAACGTGCTGTTTGATGTATACTTTGTTAACTAATCA